GAACGCCGTGTTTTGATGAGTGGCTGAGCCGCTCTCTGTTGGGCAGTGAGCCCAACAGAGAGCCCAACAGAGTCTGGACCAAAGTCCAGAGGACACACACCTAAAGACCAGGCTGTGTGTGCCCAAAACACTACATCTCACCAAGCATTTCTGCTCTAGTTTCTAGAGCAAATATCCAAGTACACTTGAAATAAGACAACGTTTCAACAAGAAATTAGCTGCATTTCCAATGACTTCATAATGGCGCAATGTGACATTTAGAAAAGAAACTTGCATAATGAAAACATTAAGAAGAACTCTTGTGTTTTTGATAAAAAGGTTTTGGCATTAGATTGAGGTGGTTTGTTTTATCCACATCAAAATTTGTTTACTTAAGACTGGAATAGAAACACTTTTTTCACATCATATGAGTCACATGATCAACAACATCCAGGAAGACGACAGGAAGTGTTTGGGAGATCATGATGTGGGATGCTTTTCATGACTTAAGTGTGACAAATATGCAGGTTTTCCAAACAAACAAAATATAAGCTGAGAAATGCTGTTGGACGCAGATAATGTTAGCTAACTGGCTTTGTTCCATTGGTCATACAGTTGAGCAAAATGGAATTACGAAAATAAATTAGCTTAATGGAAACATGCCAATTAAAAATACCTCAAGTTATTCAATAAAGCGTTTTGCGTTTCAACAAAGTGGTTTTTCAGCCGTATCAAAATTCATGTAGTTTGTATAACTGCAGCAGAAACACACTTTTTTCGCATCACACCAGTCACATGATCAACAACCACAAGTTACTTCTGGCAGAAAACATGAAGAAGACAACAGGAAGTGGTATGAGGGTGATGGCACAGCATGTTTTTTCATGACTTATTGAATGAACAGACATGTACATGCTTGATTTTAATTGGGTTTCTTATTTAATGGAAACATAAAATTTAGCTTTTTTTGACATTAGTGGAATATTGACAAAGGTTTGTGCACATTTGTAATGGGAAAGCAGCTAAAGGAGCTCGTTCTAAGTCAATAAAAAGTTCCAGTTCAACTGGCAGATTATTTTACGTATAACGCATAATTCACTCATGCCTTGTCATGAGTGAATTAATCTGCCAGTGGAACAAGTACTTTTTTAAGAATTAATATTAAGAAATTATTGGCTTAAAACTAGCTCCTATATCTTGTTGAAAAATTACTTGAGCTAGTTTCATCTTATTTCAAGTGTATTACTATGTTTGTGCTGAAAACTAGAAACATGTGGCCTCAGGAGATATTAGATTATCATGACTTGTGTCTGGTTTTTTTCCTGACGTTTTAAAAACAACAATAAAAGGTAATATTTTTTTTTTCCTTTCCAAAAATAGCTGCATGAACAGATGCAAGTCTTGAGAACACGGCTGTTCCAAAACAACACGGGGAGACTCCGGGCTGGAAGAGGAAGGAGGGAAGTGCGGCTAAGCTGAATCGGTGGCGGGGGCGGAGGATGACGTGAGCACATTCCATCTGGATGAAAACCTCGCCGACAAGAGGAGAGACAGACTCGTAAAGCGGCTTCGCTCCTCGTGAAACAAACGCAGAGCGACCGACTCCGAGGGTTTGAGACGACTGGGGTTTCCCAAGCTCCAGTGACACAGCACATCCCTCCAAACCAGCCTTCATCGGTTTTCCACCTCAAAACAAAGTTTTGATAGTTTATAGGACGGTTTGAGTTACGCCGCTGAAAGGATTTCTGGGAAAGCTGGCTGGTTCGCTCCACAGGACCAGACACCTGCGTTTTGGGTGTGATTGGATCACTGATGCCTGGCTCGGCTCACTTCTAACTTCTGGACTCGACGTAGTTACATCCCGGCAATACCGGAACTTCAGAAACCCGTCCACCAAAGTCTCACAGTGTTAGTTAAAGTTCATGAAGTGATATAGAAGCTGTGTGACTTGCTGTTAAATTTGCTCCAAACTCTAATCAGAACCAGGATCCCATTTAGAGGAGCTCACCTATCTGGTAGTGGTCGATCTTCATGGTGGAGTTGGTCAGGGAGCCAAAGATGGTGATGATGGAAACTTTCCTGATGGCCATCTCACACACAGACTCCAGGTACTCGTCCCTCTGCTGGACATACATTCTGTTCTCCTCACTGGGGGAGGTGATCAACTGGAGGAAAGGAGGGAAGGTTAGGGTAACATATACGTGCCATAAACACACATGCAGCCTGTGCTGCAGAGGAGATGTTTACATTAACCTGCATGAAGTGGGAGAACGTTTTCCCACCCTGCTGAGAGCAGCGCTGCGATAAGGAATCCGTACCGGCTACCAAACGGAGACATGAAGTCTGCTAGCACTCTGCTGTGCAGCCCAGGCTGCAGCAGGAGAATTTATGGACAAACTTTGGAGCAATTGTGAAGCTTTAGAACTTCAGAGGTGCAAAAGAGTGGATAATCTAATCCCCGTGGCGCCCCCGCAGTCAGTAAAAGGTAATTACACTGTAAAAACAAATATTTGCATATTCAACAGTGGAAAACAGTAAAATTGTGGCAGGTAAAATCCGTGAACTATAAAATGATTTAAAAACAAAACTGAAGTCGGCAGAAAATAGTGACCAGGCCTGAAATCTGGGTATGGTGATGGACACAGAACTGAACCTTCAGAGAAACATAAAGTCAGTCACAAAGTCAGCCTTCTATCACCTGAAGAACATTTCTAGGATTAAAGGACTGATGTCGGAGCAAGAGCTAGAAAAACTCATCCATTTGTTTAGTCGCACTGATTACTGCAACAACTCCTCAGGTCTGACTGAAAACATTAATCCTCCTTAACGGTTTTCACAGTTGTTGGCAGCATGTTGTGCTCATGATGTTCTTATGTTTTCATGATGTAAAGCACTTTGAACTGCCTTGCTGCCGAAATGTGCTAAACAAATATACTTGATTGATTGATTGAAACTGTTGATTTGATGTGAATTGCTGGTGAAAACAGTGCATTTTACATCTGTTCATTTTTGGGAAAAACATTGTTTATTTTTCCTGCAGTTAAAGCACTTAATTTACAGTGAAACACCGACTCCAGCATCATTTTTAACTGTAATATAAAACAGTAATCTTGTTGTTGCCCAACCCAAAAAAACATCAATCTTAAATTGTTAAAAACATAAATCATACATCACCTCTAAGTCACTTTCTCAACCTGACTTGCTCTCATACCGCTACGCTCCGCTCATCACTCTGGCGCTTTCATAAAATACAAAAAGATGACAAAAAGGCTTCTGCGTCCCACCTTGAAGTGTTCTGAGAAAAGAACTGCTGGGGATGTTTCCCAACTGTTTATTGAATTTCTTTAAACTGAGGCTGATGTGTTGCTTTTTGCAATCTTACTATATATCTCTTGTTATTTTTGTCTAATGTTCAAACTTGCAGTAAATGCTTATTTTACCAGATAAGCACATTTAAAAGGACAGTATTGTGTATTTTCCAGCCATATTGTCCCGTTTTAGAATTAAAACAATCGCATATTGCAATACACCCATGAGCTTGTGTGTTGTGTCATTTTTCCACTCAGGATGAAAGAACAGCTCAGATGTAACAGCTCAAACTCCATATGGCCGTCATGCCCATGGTCAGTGGATGCTGTCGTCTGTTTCTGCTAGAGGCCACTTCCTCAGCCGTCATTTACTGACTCAACACAGGTACTTAATCACATGGCTACTCGTGGTTATGAAATTAATTTTGGAGGTGAATTTAAGCTTATTTTGTTTTCTCTTGGCAAACAGGACAACAGCAGTGGGTGTTAGCTGTAATGAACGACACGATAAACCAAACAGAGAAGGCCCAAAGATGTTGAGAAAAGATACATGTAAGGAAGCAAAATGTTGATGGACATAGAGTAATATCTATGTGCAATATCTTCCCCTGTCATTAGGGCCTGGAGGGGAGGTAATGTACTATTACTGGACTGTAAATGTTGTGTCGTGCTCTCACCAGCAGCCGCCTCCTGTTCTCAAAGTAGTCCAGGAAGGAGGCCAGGGCGCCCTTGGGAGGGGGCGTTGGCTTCTTTGTGGGTTTCGGGTAGTCCTGCCTTTCTGGGTACTTTGTCGGCTTCCTCACATTTTTCCTCTTCTCCTCTTTCCGGGGTTTCTCTCCTCTCCTGTCAGGTTTCTTGATGTTCTTGATGCCATTCTTTCTCTTCTTCTTATCGTGCTTACTTTTGACTTTTTTGGTCGGACTGGCATCCGGGACAGATTCCGTCTCCTCTGGGCCGCTCGTAATCGGCTGGCCGGGTTTGTAGTTGTCCTCGTAGTCTTTAGGTGGCACCTGCAGGCGGAATCATGCTGTTACCATGACGATAGCCATAAAGATAACTTACCCAGTTTGAGGTTGGAAAAATCAAAAGCCTGCCCAGAACTTGAGCAAACCATGGATAGTGACGGTAGCCAGGGTAAGCGGATCAATTAGATCTGAACACGTTTTATTTATTCACATTAACTTAACGGTCTGAATATGTCCGCGGTCACTTTAAGAGGCTGCCTACGGTCAGTAGGTGACCCAGTGGAAGCAGCTGAGGAAATTGAGATCAATTGACAAATCTCAATCCAATCAGGCATCTGTGGGACACTCTGGTCAAACAAGTTGAATCCAACTTACAAGACTTAAAGGATCTGCTCCAAAACCACCTTCAGGGGTTTTAGTGGAGGTTATACATCAACAGGTCAGAGTTGTTTTGCTAGTATAAGCTGCACCAACTCACTAGTAAGCAGATGGTTGCAATATTATGCTCAATTGGTTGCTGAAAAGCGGCATATAAATTTGCAGCAAACTGCCTTGTTCCATGGAAAACAGGCTCATTTTTGGCTCTTTGGGCTCAAATTCTTCCCATAAAATACAAAATGGCTTCTCTGAATCAAGAAAGAGAGTCTGTTTGTGTCTAGTTAGAAAAAACCCACAACCAAATAAAACAATCGCATATTGCAATAAATCCATGCACTTGTGTGTCGTATCATTTTTCCACTCAGGTTGTAAGAACAGCTCAGATATAACAGCTCAGACTCCATATGGCCGTCATGCCCATGGTCAGTGGATGCTATTGTCTGTTTCTGCTAGAGGCCACTTCCTCAGCCGTCATTTACTGACTCAACACAGGTACTTAATCACAGGGCTACTTGTGGTTATGAAATTAATTTTGGAGGTGAATTTAAGCTTATTTTGTTTTGACAAAAAGGACAAAAGCAGTTTCTCGTTTTTGTGCTACATGAGAGCAGTTTGTGCTTTTATGACAACACAAACACGTCACAATTTTTGGTAACACTTTATTTGAAGGGGGGTGAATAAGACTGTCATGACACTGTCATAAACATGTCATAACACTTGTCATGAACATGAATAAGCCTTCATGAATATTTATGACAACAGTCATAAATATTCATGAAGACTTATTCATGTTCATGACAGGTGTTATGTCATGTTTATGACAGTGTCATGTCAGCCTTATTCAACCCCCTTCAAATAAAGTGGTACCCAATTTTTTTATTTTTTTATTTTTTTTGTTGTTGTTAGAAAATACAAACACGCGAGTTTGGCGCATGTTTAATAATTAATGTTTAATAACTATCTCCATAATGTATAAATATATCTAAATAGAAAGAAAACTGCTGTAAACACTCTTCGGGTGTCATTTCACCCGAACAGAGGTGAAAGGACGTGGAACCGTTAAACTGTTACCGACAGTTAGCTATGCTATGTTGCTAACTGATGTAGCATTACCTTCTCCGCCTCGTTCTTCTTGGCGGACTTGGTCTTGGTGGGTTTGTGTGAAACAGGCACCAGCTTGTGGCTGTGAGAGTCTCTGTTGTCCTTGTCGGTGCGGTTGTCTCCGGTCGGGGTGGTTTTAGCTGGGTACCTCTCGCTGTGGTTGTCATCGTAAGGATCAGCTGTTGTTCTGGAAGGCGGGAGCCACACGGCTGTGGTTTGGGCTCGGGTCGGCCTCTGGGTGGTGGTGGTTCTCCTGGTTGTCGTGGTGGTGGGTTTGGTGGTGGTTGTGGTTGTGGGTCTGGTTGTGGTTGGTGTTGGTGCTGTCGTGGGCCGTGTGGTGGTGGTAGCAGCTGTGGTTGAGGCCTGTGTGGGCTTTCTAGGGAACTTCTTCATTGGTTTTCTCTGTACAGGAGGAGCAGGAGCTATTCGACAGACAAACCGAGATAACCTTTAACTTTAAGGAAAGTATTCTTACACGTATTATATTAATACAAAATATTGTATTAAAATATCTACCCAATTATGATCATGTAAAAAAATTTTTTTGAGTGTTTTGAAAACGTATTTAAAACAGAAAAAAATATTCAATTTAGGCTACACAAATATTCACAGACTTTGCTTAACACCTTGTTGGTGAAACTCAAAATGAATCTCTTTCCACTGATCTTTGTTTCTACAGCTTAGAGCAGCTATTTTACAAAAATAGATTTTTTTACACATTTCTTAAAAATGTCACCATGAAATGACAGTACGGTATGAAATGTGAAAAGAGCAAGCTCCTCCAATATGATATGAGTCAGACTGTAGATATGGTCATGTTTAGGCAAGAACCCCCCACATCTGGTCACCCAATAATTCTTTTGGCTTGGCTTTTAAGACTAAGAACTCTAAAAAGTGTGGACTTGCCTGTCTGTGTTACGTCCTCCACCTGACCCTCCACACCTGCTGCTTTACACTTCTGGACAAAGCCCTTCTGACGCAGCTTCTCCACCTTCCTCATGGGTGACTGGTCAATGACCTCATACATGGCCTCCAGTCTGACTGGGTAGGGGTACTTCTCCTCCACCTGCAGGGTTTTCTTCAGTAGGACCATTCCAAACTTACCTGGAGGTCAAAGAAAAGTAGAATGAAGTAAAGAAGAAATGTGTGGCCCACATTGATACTTCCCATTTACTCTTACCATCCTAAATATTACTGACTACAATACAGAGTCTGCAGAAATCACTTAGTAAGCAGTACACATATGTTTTAATCTCATTAACCATAAAATTGCATGAATTGTAAATGTGAAAATAAATTTGCAAAGTAATGGAAACACCCCAATTTCTGACAAAAAAAAAATCGCTCTTCTAAACTAGAAAAGTCCTAAATTAGCTAGAAAAAAACCCTCCGAAATATTTAGATTAATCGAAAATGTTCGACTTTTGAATAACTTTTACGAAGTGTCCAAGTTTTTGTAGAAACTTTCTGAGATTTATCTCAAATTTCTGAGGATTTATTTTTTTCTCGCACATCTTCGACTTTTGGAGCTCAGAACTTTCCTTGCCTTTTCTAGACAATGTTATACAAGAGTCACATAAAAAAAATGTATATGAAATTCTGGGGGAAGTTTACTCCTCACTTTTTTCAATGGCCATCGTATTGTATAAAACATTCATTGAACTCGGTGGTTGTAATGTGAAAATAATATGATAAAGTTCCAGGGTTACCGATACTTTCGCCAGGCATTGCACACCTGTAAAGTCAACACTTCCAATTGCTGCATCGATCTTTCACACCTTACCCTTCTCCAGTTTGAGGAAGCTCATCAGCCTGGGGATGAGCGCCGTGTCCAGCGGCTCCTGCAGGATCTTCCCCTCGGCGGTGATCCTCCTCACCTTGCCCCCCATCTCGCCCTCCTGATGGAATATCACGATCTGGTGGACGTGCCTCTCGGCCAGCTCGCAGTAGACGTCCGTCTTGAGGAGAGACATCATGAGCCGGTAGTAGCCGTCGGACTCGTGGGGCGCTGAGATAACCAGAACCCGGTTCTTCCCCGCGAAGCTGGCCAGCAGGTTGGGTGACCCCGCACTGTTGGGCATCCTGGAGATCCTGGCCCTCGCTCCCGGAGTGCCCTCATCCTGCAGCATGTCCGACCGCTGCGGCAAGCCGATCTGCCCGGCGCCCTCTCTCCGTGGCCACAACCCCCCACCTCCCGCTCTTCTGTCCTTCGACGCCCCTGTCCTGACGGGAACTCGGGCCCCCTCATCTGACTGTACATTTCCGCCGCCCGTTGAGCTCTGTGAAGTGATCGCGGATCCAAATTCCGGGCGCAGACGCCCGACGAAGCCCTCCTTGTCGGTTGCGCGCGGCTGGGCACGTCCGGTCTTTACGCGTCGGCGGAGTGGCATCCTCTTCAGATGAGTTTGTTTGTCGGCTTCGGTCCAGGTGATCAAATAAATCAGAGCCAAACTGACACAAACAAACGCCCTCATCGTGGATCCTTTAAGTAAAGCAAACCCACCCAAAAGGAAAACAAAAAACAAAAGAAGGGGGAAAAAAAAGATCCAGCAGCGGAGCTTCGGTGATGTTCTGTAGTTTCCTCACAGCATTTGGTGTCTTATTAACTCCAGATGAAGACAGACAGAGGACAGGACGCGCAGTTGTTCAGAGGGATCGCGTTCAGAGCGCGCCCTCCGCTGCGGGAGGAAACCAAACCGCACGAAAACAGGCCGAACGGGCTGTGCGTAAAGTTTAAATCCACCAGTTCATCCCAGAAACACGCGGGGTCCCGCCGAAGAATTCATAGCCAAAGAAGAAAGCTGCTCAACCCGCCGAGAGAGAAGTTTTAGACGACGTCGATTAAATGCCGAACTTCTCCCTAATCCTCCGGCATTGTCCGTTTCCAGAGAGAGAGAAACTTCCTGATGAATGAAGGAGAGGAAGAATTCCAGTTTGAGGCTTTGCAGAGAAAGAGAGAGAGACAGAGACAGACTGCACAGGGAAAACTCGGCTCTACCTCTTTCAAGGTCCTCCTCTGGCAGCTGGGAGCAGTGGAGCTTTGTCCACACAAACCTCAGCCTCCGGACTTTTGGCAGTGCGCAGTCAGGAGGAGCTGGCCCAGGACGCGCAGCTGCCACTTCACTCTGCAAACACACTCCTTTCTTCCCCCAAATGTAAAACAGAGGCGTCTTCCTGTACGGTTTAAAGGGGCAGTATTATGTAAAAATCAACTTTTTAAACATGTCATATTATAATGTTATACACTCAAAACAAGTCTACCTGCATTGTTGCTTCGATTCTTTCTTGCATGTTAGAGAAATTCTTTAATCTCCATGGCAACCATTCAGCTGTCCAAAAACGTCTGGGTGAACCTAGCCCCGCCTTCTAGGATGAAGCTCCTTCTTGGAGCTGCAGAGTTTAAGCTTCTGCCTTACAGCACCGCCCTCCCCACTCAGCTCCTTCAGACTAGCCTGCAGCAATTAGCAAACACCTCTGCTGAGCTCGTTGTAGGAGCTACTTCTCAGAGCAATGCTGGTAAAAACATTAAAGGGTTAATAGAGGAGCCATGTTGTAATGACTTCCT